ACTTAATAGACTGAAATCATATTTCCCAGTGAGAAGAGAAATATATTCAGGTTGTTAGTGTTCCAATCCAAATTTACTCTGGAGACACATTGAAAAAACAATGTCAAGACGTCGAGAATTATCAATTCGATGGTTTGACATTAAAGTTATATGTAATGATCATTCACCCATATGGTTTTAGAATTGTCTGTTATTGTTTACAATTAAAAGATGACGTGTACTGGATTGTAATATGAATCGTTTTAATACTAATTAGAAGAATAGTCAATAGACACTACTCTGATTTATTTAGTGATTCATAGTTTAAACGTAATTATGGAAAATGTGAGGCTTCATAATTCTTGTGAATAAAGATCCTTCAACTCGGCGGACAGAGTTTGATTAGTTTAAGTTGTTCAATCCGGTTTGAATTTTTGTACCAAGGTTGTTTTCTTTGGGATGGAACTGACGACTCTAATCCCAACCCTCATTCTTTGTGTGGACTTGTGACTGACAGTAACCCTATAAGAGCTATAGGCGGAGTTGTATTATTCTTCAGGATAGTTGATATCAGATGCCCTGTCCGACTTTGTGAATTGGACTGCCAATCATCTCTCCTTTTCTGATGCTCACACTGTATTTAGAAAATGAAAAATGAGAATGTCATTTAACAATGATTGTAACATCTAATTTAATGTTTATGAAATTGATAACTAAGAACAATCATTTTCACCGAGAAAAGGACTATTTTTTGGTATTGTTAAATCATCTACTGAATCATAAATCAAGTAGTTCAGTTCTACTTTCACAGAAAAGCATTTACTTGGGATTCAACATTCACGCAGACGTGATGTTATTTACACTATTTAGTAAAAATTATAGATCACTTTCGGTTTTATAGTGTACGTTACGAAACCACGAATAACATTGAAACTTAGTATTTAAACTGTTACCGACTAGTAAGCTACAATGTCGTTCCTGAACTTATTAAAAATCATTCGAGTTACTTTCTCCAAATTTCGATAATACAATGAGCAGACGAAGGTTATCTGAACTATGTGATTTATTTGCTCAATATACTTCGAAGAATCTGTTAAGACATTTTTATGTGAAAACTAAAAGGTCAACTAGACAAATTAAAGGTAAGCCGTAACAAAGAAAAATAAAGTACACAAAAACAATGTGATGACCAGTCTGGATGACAAATCGGTTTTGCCAGGGTAGATTAATGCTAAGAACATATTACTTTTGAATTCATGGATGAAGTTTCAGTTTACATATAACCAAGGCTTCAATAAACCTAAGTGTAGGCCTTTGAAGGCTTTTATAGAAAACTACAAATGCTGGCTTCATGTCAACCTTATCACCAGTCTCAACTAAATGTTTCTCAATGGAGGAAGATGTCTGTCTATTCTGTGATCTTATTTGAAGCATTGGAATTCATTTATTTTTGCAGTCATCTGGGTATGTGTTCCGCCACCCTTACTTGCATATCACGATTGCTCCTCCCTATGTGCGTGTTTCAGCACATTCATGTAAATTGATAGACACAATGGGATGTGACATAGTCCCTTACGTGCTGTTTGAGTTTTTGGTGAAACATAAACCTTGTCTTTTCAATAATGACAAGTTGAGCTGCATAAAATCTCCTGATGATGGCTAATTTAAGTCTCCGTTTCAACATGAGAGTGTTTGAGTTGCCTCTAAATTGTAACATAATGTGAACTCGCTTTTTGGGTGCCAGAATCATCATAAGTCTAATCATATTGCAGCCCTTCCAGTGGTTTATAAACTTCAACGAATAACCATTATTCGTTAACTTGTAGTATCAGTTATTATGTTAAGCCCATATATCTTATCGCTTTCGGACAGACCAATCAATTGATTCTACTTGAGTCACATTTTGACCTTGTTAATTATTCGCTCATCAATCTTGACTGTTTTTATATGATCTCATATATGTGTGTACATTTCTTATCCTATATTCATCACATGTCTGTAACTTATTTTTGTGTAGCTATAAATATTGATTAACGTTTGTTTAAAGAGGAGTTAGCTTACCCACTATCTCCACTGAGCGTCGTTTTGTTTTGTTCTATTCCATTCGCTTTATATAAAAAGTATATGTGTTAAAAAGTCCATTCTCGTTATATGACTTACTTAATTCCGTTATTGAGTAACTCGATTTAAGTCGATGATTATATACGAAGATAGATGATAACAAACATTCATACGATCTGCTTGGAGTCAGAACTCAAGCCACTAAAGTGGAGAGTCCGTCAACAAACATCGTCCGGTCTAAATAATGACAAAATAAAGGACCCACAAACTTTTCAGTCAGCAGCTTCTTTTCTGCTTCAGTTGTATCGCTAGCACAAATATCGTTGATTCTATTGAATAAGCCCTTTATTAATCCACGTTTGTAATGCGTTGAGCAGTGACTATGGAAATTAAGATATTACCCTGTCCATGTAGGTTTTCTGTGTACAGGACGTTTGATGGAACAATCATCTTTCCTACTAATCAGTATTGTTTAGAAAAGGAAGTTGATTACCCTTCTCTTCTTCGCGTTTAATAGAAATATGTTTTCAACCTGTGTTGAGTTCTTTTAACAAATTGTTCACATGACGTTTATCTCCTATGATTATGATGTCATCAACGTACCGCTTATACAGAAACATCTTTTGAATTGAGTATTCAGCTAGATTTTCAACATATCCCATAAACACACCAGCCAGCAATGGTTCAAAAGGGCTGCCCATAGCTACATCATCGATTGTTCGAAAGTATTCACTCTCAAAAGTGAATTCTACACTGTCAGTACTCAGTAATAATAAACCTTTGACAGTTTTAACAAGAGATGGAAATATAAGGTTATTCAATGAGATATAGTCAAATAAAATATCAGTAGTTTTCTTAAAAAGTTACTTTGTAAATAGAGTGTTCTTATCAAAGGAGCTTATTGTCTTTGTTTGTATATTCATATCCATTAAGTACTTCATTAATCCAAATGAGGAATACTTATAAAATTGATTTCGGATAGGGTTTAATACTATTATCAGACGTTTTGCATGGTTGTGTGTAGGCGACCGACACATTGATACAATTTATAATCATATATATTGAGTGGATAGATAGATACTCACGACTGTAGACATTATTTTTCGAAACCGATGCATCTTAGTGCAAACTTAGTGTGTATGACACTAGATCATTTAGTGGTTTCCAATAATTTAATGACTTACACCTGTTGCACCTCGTAGAGAAGCATAGGTCGACCACAAGCATTACCCATCAAATGCTGTCCTGGACAATCATTTGCAGTTGTCCCCAGTTTCTATTCATCTTCTTCATGTCTACTTCCAATTCTCAACACAATATGTTCTTTGACCTTCCTTTTTTCCGTTTCCCTTCAGCATTCCAAAATAGCGCTTGTTTCGTGATGCAGTTCGATGATTTCTTCAATGTATGTCCTATCCATTTCCAGAATCGTTTCCTGATTTCATCTTCATATGGAAGCTGGTCTGTTCTCTCCCACAGTAGACTGTCGTTGATGGTATCCGGTCAATGGACAGTGAGTATCATATGTAGACAATTGTTTACAAATACTTGCGACATTTTAATGATGATTGTGGTAGTTGTGCAAGTTTCTACTCCATACCATAGAACTGTCTTGACATTTGTAATGATTCTGATTTTGATGATGGCTTACAGACCGTTGTTTTGAGGAGTTCTGTATGTTGGTCAGTTGTGAGGATGCTGTCCTTACTTTGTCAATCCTCTTCTTTGCGTCTGCACCAGATCTTTCTTGTTCATCGATGATGCTGACCATATTATGTACGTGAACGTTTCCACCTATTCCAGAAATTATTCATCGAGTGTGATTGAGTTTGTGTTCTCTGTGTTGTATTTGAAGATGTTGGTATTTCCTTTATGTACATTGAGGCCTACTGTTAGATAGTATGCTAATTTAATCTTCATATCGTAAGCTGGGTTTCGATGGAACTTCACCCTGTACAATCATTTCTCAATAACATAAAATTATTATTAGCATCATCCTGACGTTGTCGTTATGACGATATACTCTAGTCGCATGACCTTTTCATAAATACTATCACTGTCCATATTATTTTCACAAGCGATATAATATTTCTTATATGATGCATTCTATTCAACTAATTCAATTACTGATTGTAATTTTTCCCAGTGTATTACAATGAATATGAATTCATCTTTGTATAATCTAGCGATGAAATTATCAAAAACAAATCTCACTCAACCAGTCTTTGGTCTGGATACCCTGTGGGGATCTTTAAACTAGTGATCAATATACGTGGTGTTTTCGAATAAATAAAGTTGACGTTTATTGTAAGGCTAAGGAAGATGGTTATAGTTCTAACTACTGAACATGCAAAAGTGATGGTTAATAGTAGGAATAGAGGATCATACCGAAAAATCCACAAGTGATAATTACATTACTCCCGTCGTGGTTAAACTCCACCAGTCACAGTCTCTCATGAGAACCTCTCTCAGTTTGTTATGATCATTACTTAATAAAACAGTTTGTCTAGATCTATTTAATTTGAACAAAATTTACCATTCAGTGTAAACAATTGCTTATTATTATTATTTTGAGTCAATCTAAACATCATTATTAGAATCGTCAAGAAAGTGTATCTTATTGTTTTAGTATGGAAAAGTTATTGAATACAAATTTGTACCTTTCTTTTATTATTATAATGTCTATGATTGATATTGTTATAATTACAATGAGCGATTTAAGACACATTGATAAGACATATGCATGAAGATTATATATGAGCCAATTGAAATAGGTGTTAGAATGTTCATTTATCCATATATACATATACATACATCTATTATCTTTGAAGCCAAGCTACTAAAGTATTTGTACGTTTATAAGCTATGTAACACTTAATTATGCAATCATATTTAGTCTAATTTTATGCACCCAATTAATTATTTAAGTGCAAATTTATGCACAATATACTTTGTTGTACCTGTCATTTGATTATAGGTGTAGAAAATTAAATATTCCATATATATGTTTTCTCTATGAAGCCAAGTTACTAAATTCTCATTTTCTTACTTTATTGCATTTATAATAAGGTCAAATGTATGACACACTTAATGATATAAATAATGTCTGATTTGAAAAAAAAAAAGAATTACTAAGGTAGCATAGTTAAAAGGCTACTCAATTTATCCGCTTACATATTACAAATCTTTTAAAATATAATAATGGGTGAACAAAAAGCAGTAATCAAAAATGCTGATATGTCAGAAGATATGCAACAAGATGCTGTTGATTGTGCTACACAAGCTTTAGAAAAATATAATATCGAAAAAGATATAGCAGCATTCATTAAGAAAGAATTTGACAAGAAATACAATCCTACATGGCATTGTATTGTTGGGAGAAATTTCGGAAGGTTAGTAATATTTTGTAACTCGACATAAATATTTATTCATTATTAATATGTAATCAATGTTATTCACTCAGTATCTATGCCAAGACAGAAATCATTTGAAGTTATAATGTAGAGATTGTAACAGTGTATAAGGAATTATGTAATTTTATTGGAAGTCAATAGTATACATATAATTGGACAGTATTCATTTAACTATGTTTTCTATCGCATTTCTGTAATGCATTTTTTCCTCCCATATACACTTGCTATTTGGGTCACCAAAATCAACGGTTCTCAGTTCCGTTGTATACATTCTAGGATGAGAAAGGATTACCAACTACGAGCTTTTAACATGATTATGTTAGTTTGATTCAATTCATCAAATGATTCTCAAAATCACTGAGAAATAACAAACATTATAAAAGTGTAAATGGTAGAGAACAATTTGAACTACACCTAAGAAGAGATCTCTTTCAATGGCGTGAAAATTAATATAACATTTAATTTCTTTCTATAAATGAATAGTCTGGTTTTGAATGAACATTATGTCTGTCTGATCATTCAGAAGATGCTTCCACGTTTAATGTCAATGTCTTTTATATCTACATTAATTCAGTCATTGACTCTGTTTATAAATAGAATGTCTAATTCAGGGACAGTTTACGTCCAGTTAGTGTAGTTGCAAAACGTCCGATGAAAACACAGATGTCAGTTTGACTGGACGTAGGAATCCAAAGCAACATCAGTGTTGGATTAAGTAATTCATTCATGAATTGTGCAGCAGTTCGCAGAGTAACAATTACAAATCAAACTTAGTTGAATGACAGACAGTTAGATGAAAATGATAAACGATGAAAACCACTAAGCACTTATCAACAGTGACATCTTGATTACTTATACTTCTCCATCCAATCCTCAAGTAATTCAAAATATATATTTTTACGGATCTGTAATCTGATTTTTTCGTTCTATACATCCTGTGGAATTTCATGTTCTGAATTGGTAGATTCAAATGAAGTTCGTAAGACTTTCTTGTTCTGAAATTTGCTTATATGTTGCTAATTGGTTTTTCAATTCCCTTTCTTCATTGCAGTTATGTGACGCATGAAACCAAACATTTCATCTATTTTTACTTGGGACAACAAGCAATTCTTCTCTTCAAATCTGGTTAATTCGGAGAAAGTCAAGACAACAAGAGAAATACCATCAGAAACCAAAACAAACATTGTAACGCACATCTGATCATTATGCATTCAGCGTAACCCAATTAACTTCACAAACACAATTTTCTGTAGTAATTCATCTTTCTAAGAACAAACACAGAATAATATACAGTTTGAACGAAGACCACAAAACAGAACAGAATGTATATTAGTATAACTGCGATTGTGTTTCCACATTGTCTTTTGTACTGGTTGATCTATTATCATATTATTGTCAGTGTGTGTGTGCTTTTGTGTGTGGTAATTTTGTATGTGTTAGTGTTTTAAAATCGAAATTGAAACATCTTCATTATTAGTAAACAATTCAAATAAACAGTTATTCGTGCAGAAGAACGAGAGTGTTTTCTCTTTATATCTCGTCATATAAGTGTGTTTCAGGATGGGTAATATCATTGTCGTTTCTAGTTGCTAGTGGATGTATTTAGTAGGAAGCAATAATCGAAACAGATAGTTGATATGTAATATTAGGTAATTTTCGAATCGTATTGAGTGCACAGCCACTGTAGAAGAGGATCATGAGTGTGAGTCGTTAAATGATAATGTGGAGAATATTTCAATGACAATTATGAATTGATAGGTTGGTTCTTCATTGACGCACCTTCAGAATTGATGTATACAATGCACATAATCTGTGACTGTGGAACTTCTACGCAATTATCTAGCATTAACCAACCTATTGGATTCAACGTCCAAATATTTCAGATAACCTGAACTACTTATGGTTTCACTACATGAAGCTATCACAGACATTAGAAGTATATTCACATATATCTAATAGAATAACTTTCAGTTTATAAACCGTAGTATGTATATTTAACCACTGAAGATAGATTAAATTAGTATAGTTTCTCGATTACGTGAATAGATCACTTAAACTGTGCATCATATTATGAATTATTAGCAGACATCAGGCAAAGATGCATCTCGAATTGTACCTAAAGATGAATGAGATGCCTGGATATGCATTCTTCGCTTGTTAAAGTATATTAATGACAAATGAATTCCTAAATGCTGATGTCTTTCATCCAATCACTGGTTTCAGTCGCTTTACTCATCAAGATTAATTGGTGAAGTGTGTCTCTGACTGACGGAAATGTGAATGTTTCAGCCTTACATGAATATGGTGGTGGCGTATTTACCAGAACTACAAACATGTTCACAATCCCATTGTAATCTTATCAAGTATGATGTAAAGGTGGTTTTGTGTCGAGATGAATCGAAACATGAGTACTGATGGTCAAAATAACTCAATGTGCAACTCATACCACACTAGGACTGTTGTACAGCTCACTTTGATTTAATTTATCTCTGAAAACTATTACTACTAAATTCCTAAACAAATGATCACAAATCAGGTTTACGTTGTAAAGACAAAAGAAGAAGAATTATCTTGATAATTGAGACAAATATCACAGAAGACAATAAAATATTAGACAATAGGCTGACTATAATTAGTACACTCGCAATCACACGAAGAATATTTCACTGAGTCAACACAAATGTGAGATATCTCGAGTTTTGAACAAACATAGTAATAATTCTGACGAATATATATTTTTCAACAACCAGTTATGCATTTGATGATTCAACTCAACTCATATTAGTGTCGTCAGTCAAATGACATGTCAGAACGTTTGTGATGCCCAGGTTGGTTGAAATCATTTAAGAATAGGCACTAAAATGTGTTTCAAACATCATCAGAGTAAAGTAGGTTTGGTATGATACAGTGAAATGTACTCAATAGAAATTGTTGAGTTTCATATTTCAATTCTCTTAATCATTTCTAATTTCGTTAGAACTAGCAATTACAGACACTCCACTTCTTCACACAAATCTGAAACATATGAACGTATGTAATTCAGTTCATTGAAATAGCACAATGTTCTATTATATTATCTTCTCAGATGTATTAGACAAATCACTAGTGAAAAATCTAATGTTATTTGTTTCAATGTATCCATTTTAAACGACAACGATTTATGCAAGCAAAATGAAATTTATTAGAAGAACAAATGATCAATTATGCATAAATCGTCAAGTTCTTTTTATTTCCAAACAAAAGAAGAAGAATAGGTAGTATGATACGGCTAGAAATACGTATTCTGTTTGTTTCATTCAAATAATTAGAAAAGAATTATTTTTCAATAATCTAAATGTGTATGAATAATTAACAATTATTAGTCACATTACATTTTTAACCTACACGAAGATACAGTTTGTAATGTTTCTTCATTAATCTTTGAGGTGATATTTTAAATGATGAAAAAATCACCGTATATATATATACATAGTGATAATTTGATACAGAAGAATATATACTTCGTAATTAACTTGCCTACATGTCAACGAATGGTAAATTTGCATATTTTACATATGAAGTATGCTTTTTAAAAAAACAACCCATTAACGATGAAGAGTTGATTCACTTCAAAAAAGATTATGTATTCTTAACAAAGATATGGTTTTGAATATTTTACTGAAAGAAACAATATAAATTTACGTTTCATTTAAAGACTAGTGAATATTGCTTAATACTTTTAGAAGTCTATGATGGTATGATGTTCATTGTTGAAGAGTAATTCTAAGAATTCATAAAATAAAAATACAACTAATTAACTACGAACAGTTTTCTATAGCTATCAACTAATGTTATTTGACAATGAAATTCATGTTCAAACAGCATTAAATCTTTGTAAAATGATCTAATTCAAACAAGAAATCAAGCGAAAACACAATGGACATTATTCATAAGTTAAATCATTTAAAAAGTAAACAAAATTATTCCGAAAATGATTCTGATCAATTTTTAAACAAACGTTCTCGATGGATTACGCTTAAATTTTGTTATTTTTGATATGAAAATGCATGGTAGTATTTAATTTGCAATGCTTTATAATTTGAACAGAATTTGTAATGTCTAGTCCTATGTCAAGCCTATATAGGTTATTCTAGCTTCTGGATAGACCAGTTTATCCATTATCCTCACTCCACATTTTGACCTTATCAACCTTCACTACTTTTATGTGAACATATGTCTGTACATTGTTTATCCTACTCATCACATATCTGTGACTTATTTTCGTTTTACTATAAATATAGATTCATCCTTGGTTAGATTGAGTTGGCACACATGCCATCTCCGATTCGTTTCGCTTCAGTCTCCTCTCCACTTCATTTTCCTAATTGTCTCTTCAGATCAACGATTGCATGAAGTATACATATACAAAATCCATTTTCGTGTTTGACTTATTTTAATTCCGTTATTCAGTAACGCAAGTTGAGTCGATAAAAATATACGAGGGTTGGCGGTATATATATTTCAATAACAATCATTTATTCGATCCAATTGGAGTCAGATATTGGGCCACAAAAAAACTCCGTCATCATACATTAATGATGGAAACTTATTCAAAATACATACTATAATGTTATTCAAAAATACTTATATATTCTTCATATAACTGATTACTGTGTAATAAGAAGCTTAACTGGAACTAATCAAAAGAAGACCACGATATGTTTGCATTCATAGAATTTATTGTCATTATTAAGTTTGTTGCATTTCTTAATGACATTTACAATCATAGCATGAAGTCAAATTACAATAATTCAAGTTCAAATGAAGTCAAGTGATTCCTTCATTTGAAAATTTATAAATACTTGGTGGTAATTGTAAAGGTTGTGACTGACGGATCTTTGGGTAATCCTTTTATGACAATAATTTATATTCGTAATTTATTTACAGTAAAGAGAGAGCTGAACTCGAAATCTATGCAAGAGGCATACTGTCGTTTAACTTCAGTTTGAGTATATTTATCTTAAAATAAAGGAATTTTGTAATAAATTATTTAATTTCGCTTACATTACTTAACTAATTCACTCCAATTTATTCAAGTAAATCAACTATACAAAAGACTGAGTTCAGTGTTTTAAAGTACTATTGTGTAAATCATCCATAAAATTAGAATAGTTTAACTTTTAAATGTTTAACGAATAAATGGTATTGAAAAGAAAATCAACGATTACTGTATTGAGTTGTAGTATTTGACCGCATTAATAGATATGAATAATTGAAATGACTAATTCATCATATAAACATTTGGAACATATTCAAGTGTTAGTATGAATGAAATTATCACATAAACCAGACTAGTCTTAATTCGACAAAGTTCAAATTTTGTGGAAGGTGTGTTGTATTTTTCTGTGTAGATAATTCTCATTAGAATTCGTGTGGGGAACCTCTTGTCTATTGTGTAGATGCTTATCAATTAACCACATAGCATCTCGTTCACATATTTTGTTCCTCATTTCAAACGAATACAATTACGGCCTTACCACCACTTACTGCAACATGCTTGCTAGTCTGTTGTTTGTCTTGACTATCGCACCAATTCCTCAACCCATAATAAACGAACACACTTCATATCATCACACTCCTGAAACTTTAATACTTTAGTCAGAACGAACATCGAACACACCTAATCGATTACTGCATTCCATTGTATTCTAACGAAAACTTTTAAGTGTTGACATATTGCAAAATCATTTCAGTTGACTAGCCAAATAAAGTGGTGCTTTCGTTGATACGGCAACTTAATTCTACTCCTGTGGCTTGTATTGCTAAAACGGCTACCTCTGTTTGTTATTGGCTAAGCTTTATGACTTATTGTGCAGAAATCAAGGTAACGAATCTCCAATTTATTATGGAATTATTTGTTTGCCTATTTTCACGTGTTTATCAAATGCATGGTGCTCATTGATCTCACCAATCTGAGCATCGAAATCAGTTCCACTACATACACTGATGAAATAATAATTGCAGCGAATAAAACCATTCTACTAATACGATCAGTTGTTGATCAGTAAGATCGCATTTATTCCCCTTGATACAAGATGTAACTCATTGATATAGTACGAATTGATGTGTTTGACGATAAACGCACTTTAACTAGGGATGATTGTGATCCATGTCTAATGTCCAATCCGGAGTAGACGAAGAGGGATTATGCTCTTCAACGAACAGGTTGGAAGCTGAGTGTTTTAACAAAACATATTTCGTACTCATTGGAATACTGTGGATTTTCGAGAGGAGAAAAATATCCATCACAAATAGGTTTAATAATGTACGAAATACTGGCGAGAAATCTATCAAAAACATGCAAAATAAACACTTGTCTCCTTGACTTCCCTGTAAATTCACTTCAGTAGTATGTAATTAACACACTATGCATACACTCGAAACACAATTACACACACATACATGCTTACACAGTTGAATACATACAACTAATCGTACCTTAAGCGTTGTTCAAATAACACATACATAAAATATG